AAAATATATAAATTATATATATTTCAATTTCAATATTTTATTGACACATTTTCAGTACACTATTTTGTGTGTGTGAAGGGACAGAATGGGGCTGATACTTTGAAAACCCTGCTTATCTAGGAGGGAATAAAATCCAACTGCCTTTAAAAATAAGTCAAAGGGGGGAAAAAACGGAAAGAAATAGAAATGTAATAGTTTGAGCAATCATCCTACTAGGTTGGCTTAAAACATATTGTTCCCCAGAAGTGTTTCTAATACTTAACCACAGCAAATTCCGTTTGGCTTGTTTCGCAGCTGAGGACAAATTATGGACTAAAGACCCGCTGACCAGCATCCTTTACCAGATCAACTCCAAGTCTGCGCTGACGTGGCAGCAGGCGAGGAAGAGCTGCCAACAGCAGGATGCTGAGCTCTTGAGCATCACAGAGATTCATGAGCAGACTTACCTGACAGGTAATACCATGCAGAGAAAGCAAAATTGTGAGCAGGATCATGATTGCATTATTTCTACATAATTCAACTTGAAAGTAGGCAAAGCCAGTGATTCTCCCTCCTGGCCCCCCAGTACGGGGATCGAACTCAGGTCCTTGTGCTTGTGAGGTGGGTGCCTGAACCACTGAGCTAAATCCCCAGCCCTAGAGCCAGCGATTCTAGACATCATGATAGAGATGTTTGTTCCCAAAGCGTCTAGTGCAGATTCTATGACAAGTCCACACTCTGAAACTGACCCCAAGGACAAGAAGCAGGCCTCATTTCCTGCACCAACTTTGTTCTGTTGGTTGTGATTATCTCAGAGCCTGTGCTGAGGAGGATCCTGAAGACTAGTTGTCCATGATCGATGAATGACACTGTTCTTGGACACAGGTAGTAACACAAGGCTGGTCAAGCAGTCATGACCCTGCTCTCACCGGAAGTCAGAGGTCTTTCTTTAATATCATAGAGTCTGAGATGACTAAATGAAACACAACTTTTGTCTGCAGAGACAAATCAGGAACTACTCTGAAATCCCAAGTCCTCTTTACCTCGGTCTCCCCAAGTTTTGTGCCCCATAATTTTTCACGTCTTATCAATATCCTTTCCACAATATGCTTAAACATCTGTTGTGAGATTGTAAAGATTAGAAAGGGGAATGTTTGCTTGGGAAGAGAGTATCTGCTTTAGCTTCTAAAATTCAAACGTGGGGAGACAGAATTCAGGATGAGAAATCAGTGTGGGGAGATCCACATACTGTTGCCTCTGCCTTCAGAATTTCCTCCCCCGATTTCACCCTGATACCATTAGATTGATAAATCTCTGAGCCCGTGGACGCCATGTTTCCTGTCAAATGGCTAATTAAACACCTAAAGGTTGTCATTGGTCTACCTACCGCTCTTGTCTCCTTCATGCATTTTGTCAGCTTGATGAAAGAAAAGTCGTGTGTTCCTCACAGATGACCTCTGTGTCTCATATTTCTCACCCTCACATCTTTTTCTATGTCATTAAAAAAATCTAGAATTCCCCAATTTTTATACAGTGGAAAAATAATCCCTTTCATTTCTCTTAACCACCTTTATATTAGCTCACTACTTATATGTACCATTTCCCCTACAAGACTCTAGACATTCCTTGTGTAATGGCTGAGTTTTGTTCCTGTGACTAGGTTGTTAAATTGGCCACTAAATGAGGAATTGTACATAGTGTGTACATTACAATGTTAAGAACAAAGACATGGTCAAAGGAAACTCCTACTTGATGACTTTGCTTTTATTTGCATAACTCTTACTCGCAGTACTATAGTATGTAACAGAACATAAAACTATAGTGCTGTACTACAAAAATTACGGTACTGTATAAACAAGGTGTACTGTATAAAAAAGACACTGTGGCTCTATAAAGATGTACAGAACTGTACAAAAAAAAAAGGTCTTAAATCTGAGCAGTGAGTCGTAAGCCTGAACAGTCTTTAAACAGGTGGTTTGTCAAATGAGGGATATCTCTATACATGCATTAATTTTTTTTTGTTTCTTCATTCATCTAACAAAATTTCAGGTGTGCCAGGCATTGTGTTGGGTCCTGGGACCCAAAACTGACCCTCTTCCGTCCGCTTAGAGCTTAAAGAGTAATGGGGAAAACAGATGTAAACATAAACAAGATGAGTAGGTACAGGCACCACACAGGAAGCAGTGAGCGCTGTGTGGAGAATGGAATCGGGAGACAGAGGCTGGTGATGAGAGCTGTCCTGTGAATATGGGCCCCCGACCCCTCACGAGGAGACGCACGTAGGATCTCCCAAGGAAAATACAAATGCTTATTTGGAAATTCAGCCTAACATGTGGACTACCAGAGCGTTTATGGCAAGGTGACTGTAAGTGCAGTGGTTCTTAAAAGTGCAGGTGCTTATTCATCATCTGGGGACTTTGCTGGAGTGAAGAGGCCAGGCCCAGGCTGCAGGGATTCTAGGTCAGCAACTCCTTCTGCGGTCTGTATTTTGTCCGCCTCTTAGGGGACTCTAGGACAGATGGTTAAAGGCCATATTGGCATAAGTCTATGTTAGTACCTGTTGAATCCAGGCACTGATACCAGGCATGAGGGCATCACGGGCAGAGACTGTGGAGCCAGACGGGGTCCCCACTCTGTCCCCACTAGGTGGGGCAGTTTTAGGGGCACTGCTGGAGGCTTCCATGCCCCAGTGGCAGGATGTGGTCAGGGCGTGAGTATGAACCAACATGAGGACCATAGCACGTCTTCAGCCTTGCCTGCGTTTGCCCAGCTGTTGTGGGGGTGACACTCTTCATGAGCTGGAACACATTTCTCCTTTAGGTTGTCATTTAATGGACAGAGCAGGGGAAAAACAATACGGCCTCACAGTGTGCGTGCATGTGCTTAGATTTGAAGGAAGAAGTTCTGCCTCCATCTCTTAGTTGTTCTGTTTTGTGCTGGGACCTTTCTAATACCCAGACAAATATTGAGCAATGGATGTTTACAGCCAGGAGTAAAAATGCAGAGAAAGGCAAGGCACGGAGAGAGATGAACATAAATTCATGTGAACGATCAAGGACTAGAGAGGCGATTCAAGACAGCGCTCGGCCATTTTGCACATTTACGCACAACTGGAGAGAGGGGCATCAAGGCTGAAATGGCCGCACGCGGTGCTGGTTCTATTTTGAGATCTGGATTGTATTTTCTTGACTTTGCCAATTTTTTGCTTGTTTCCTGGCCTTCTGGAAGCCAAGGCATAGACCATCGACAGCTCTTTAGTCTCTCTTCCTGCTGCCTAGAAGAAAGCAGGGTGAGGGGCGGATGGTGGCCTTGCTTGACTAGACTCGTGAGAGTGACCTGAGTGTGTCTGCTGGGGGCCCACGCGTCCCCAGACCTTCGGGGTTGGCTGCACCTCGGTTGCCTAACCTGAATCTTACTCAGGCCCCTGGGATTTTAGTCAGCAAATTGTAACAGCAATCTGGATAGGAACGAATTTTCTAAAGAGATTTGGAATAAGGACCGCCTTACTGTGAGTCAGAAATATCCTGCGATAAAAAAAAGAAGCCTGACCGGAAATGCAAAAGATAAAATAGAGGAAAGACTTGCCTTTGTTTTCTGGAAGAAAGATATTGGCAGTATTTGACATTAATGGAGATCGAGTGAGGAAGAATCCAGAAAACAATGGTGTGGGTGAGTGTTTGTGATCCACTCTGTTTGAAAATACACCGTTAAAATGAAAAGCCACAATATTTTTACTTTTAAAGTAATTAAGATAAAGTTTGGGGATTTATCCCAGTCCTTGCCTAGAATGCACAAAGCCTTGGGTTCTGTTCTGCTAGGGTGCACACACAAATACACACACACACACACACACACACACACGAAGTAAATGAAGTTTATTTTCTGTGTGGATTTTGAGAAGTAAATACCTTTGAAAAATATGTAAGTCCTTTTGATGGTTCTGGCATTAAATGCACTGTCATTTATTGAACAGCTGCTGTGTGCCAAACACCAGGCTTTATTTTGGAAGCCCCCACCAACCCTGTAAATATTATTTCCTCCTTTTGTGTGTGAAAGTAAATACCTTTGAAAAATATGTAAGTCCTTTTGATGGTTCTGGCATTAAATGCACTGTCATTTATTGAACAGCTGCTGTGTGCCAAACACCAGGCTTTATTTTGGAAGCCCCCACCAACCCTGTAAATATTATTTCCTCCTTTTGTGTGTGTGTGTGTGTGTGTTACCAGGGACTGAATTCAGGACCTTGCTCTTGTAAGGCAGGTGCGGTGCCACTGAGCTAAATCCCTGGCCCAACAATAAACTGACTTCACTGGTTTTCTTTTTGGTACCGGGGATCAAACTTGGAACCTTGTGTTTGTGAGGCAGGCGGCAGAACCACTGAGCTAAATTTCCGGCCCTCCATTATTTAACAGATGAGATGTTAGGAAACCTGCTTAATGCTTTGTGTTCAGACAGTAACTGAGTTGCAGCTCAGTTGTCCTCCTTTTCTCCTGCCTGTGTCTCACTTGCTAAAGCAAACCCGGTTTATACACTGACACCTTGCTTCAGTAAATGTATTGATTCCAAATTGGCGGTCTGATATTGTAGGATCTGCAGGGCAAAAATGTCTCGGCTCATCCCCCGCTGCTGCCTCCTCAGCTTTTCCTTCTGCCTCTCTGTAAGTGAAAAGGTTAGGACCTGATTTAATCTCAGTGAGGATTTGTAGAACTGAAATAGGACAGAGGAAGTGAAATTTTGCTAGTTACCCCGATTGTTTTTACCGGTCTTCTTAGGAACTATGTGGGAGACAAATGGAACTCTCTAGAGAAATGAAAACAGAAATACCACTGTAATACTGTTTACTGATGTGTGTTCTGTCGTAACTAAGCCCGCAGGTAGGCACATAACAGTTCAGTTAGAAAGGCTGAAAACTTTAAAATTTAGGACACGTACATGTGCTTTGTACAGTAACCCTAAAGAATTCTGACGTGCTTCTTTGTAAATTTACAGGAGTGGATTGCAGAAAAAAAAATTGTGGGTGATTCTTGTGGGCTTTAAATACTACCCTTTTTGTGGTGTGTTGGTGCTGGGGTGGAATTTAGGACCTCAGGCTTCCTAGGCAAACACCTCCAGCCCTTTGAGTGATGCATTTAACCTGAGGCTTGAACTTTGTTTCTAAATCAGACCTTTTGCTAACCCAATTCTACAGGAAGCTAGTGAAAAAATGGTGATAATAATAGCAACCATTTACATTTAGAGAGTGTATACTATATGACAGGCTTTGTTTTACGAAGTGTTAATTAATTATTCAAGACTTACCTTAGAAGTATCTAGACCTGATGAAGTATGCCAGAAGCTAGATGCTTCCCTTACAGAGCTAAGATCAGCCGGATGTGGTGCTGTAGGTCTGCAGTTCCGGCATTATGGGAGGCTGAGGCAGGAGGATTCTAAATTTGAACCCAGCTTGGGCAACTCAGTGACTCACTGAAACCCTGTTTTTAAGTAATAATAAGAAGCGCTAACAGATAGTAATTAATGTAAGTAGTTCAGGTAAAATACACTTTAATTCTTCTTTAATCAGTGTATCATTTATAGTTTTGAAACTGATTTATGCATATTTTCTTATGTGATACTTTTTTTTTTTTTTGTACTGGGGATTGAACTCAGGTCCTTGCCCTTGCAAGGCAGGCCACCGAACTGCTGAGCTAAATCCCTGGCCCCCTGATACATTTTTTAAGATCCCCAAGTAGTTGATTTTGGGAACAGCTTTATTTAACATTTTTGGAATGCTGCTTTTAAGACTTTCCTTTGGTAACATAGCCCTGGAGATATAGAGAGAAATATTATTCAAGTTAGTACAATTTTAAAGGATCTGTGGAAATCTATATTCAGTAAGAATGAGTAGAGTAATTATTAACATAATGTCATGAAGATAAAACTGGTCTCAGATAGTTGTCTCCTCTTGACACATTGTTTGTAATGAGCTAGGACAACACCCTCAGTTAGTTGGTTTCTTTTTGTTTTGTTTGTTTTGGTACCGGGGATCGAACTCGGGTCCTTGTGCTTGCGAGGCAGGCCACCGAACCGCTGAGCTAAATCCATGGCCCTCATTGTTTTTTAAACAAATTTTAGTTTGTTAGTGCATGTGTGTAGTACGTGATGCTCACATTCTGTGTGGGAAGTCGGTCCATGTACAGAACACATCTTAATTCCTTTTCTCATCCTCTTTTTCTTCCTTTCCTCCCCACTCCCCCATCTCTAGAGCTCCTTCCTTTTCATTTTTTGGTACATATTTGCAATACATAATGTTTACGTTCCTTATATGGAGTTTTTTTTTTTTTTTAAAGTGAATGTGGCCATGCTTGATAAAGTTAATCTCAGATTTAACACGAAACAAAGTTTTATTTTAATAATGTCATTTCCTTGGTAAAGCTTTATGCTAAATATTTCTATATTTGGAGGGCAAAATTCTAATGTTAAAGAACCAAGTTCAGGAATGAACTTTGGAGTGAGCTACTCTTAGAGAGTAAGGATAGGTAGTAGACATATCTGCCTAGTTCATCTTCCTTTCCTTAAATGTGCTCTATATTGAAAATTACCCAGAAAATGTATTACCAGAATAACTCCCAGGCACATTTAGTTTCAACAAGGATTAAGATCCACTGGCAAAACTAATTGAAACCTTGGGTTAGTCCTGTTCCATTAATATTTTATTTTTCTCTGTACAGTGTGTTCTCCTCTGTGAAATAAGGGAAAGTCCTAGAGATCTCTCAGAGTACATAAAGTCCCTAAGTGTGGGAGCTGTGCTAGCTTTCATTCCTTTCAACTGGTGACCTAATGTGTGTATAGACGAGCTAATAAAAAGCGATAAAAACTTCAGTGGCTTTGAGATACGTCAGTGTGACTTTGGTTATATGGAGTCTGAGTTTCGTGTCGTATGGACTTGGGTTCAGGTTTCTGCTCTGTTGTTCTCATCTACAGTATGGAGATGATTCTTTTTTTTGGGGGGGTAGAGGGTACCGGAGATCGAACTCAGGACCTTGCGCTTGTGAGGCAGGCAGTGGAACCACTGAGCTAAGTCCCCGGCCCCTGCAGATGATTCTTAATTCAAGTTTATCAGAATTAAATGAACAAATACCGTGCATACAGGGCACTGACTATTGTAAATGATCAATAACTGAAAGCTCTTATCAATTGATTGGAGAATAGCCTACCGATGACATAAACTCGATCATTTCTGTTTACTAACATAAACACATCCTTGAGGTTGGTATTTTATTAATGCAAAGGATAATTTAAAAAGAATAATTGCCCTAATCAGTTAAAACAATTTAGAGAGAGTGAAAATTCCTAACCGTGGTTTTTAAAAAGATACAGACAATAACAGGTTAGGCTCATTTAAAAAAATTTCCCTGTCAGGCTTTGTATAGTTTGAAACATTGTAATTATGATTTATTATCTGCCTAAATAAAGCATTGCTCATGTTAGCATAAATATTTAGTGTTTTGCATTTAATCATCATTTTAAGAAAGAAGAAAAATTGACTTAAAAATCATAAAATCCTTAAAATAAATTCTGAATTATGAGGCTAAAGTAATAATTTATGAACACGATAGTTTGAAATGTTTATTACAGTTTTCCAGGGCTGGGGATTTAGCTCAGTGGTTCCACTGCCTGCCTTGCAAGCACAAGGTCCCAAGTTTGATTCGCGGTACCCAAAATTTTTTTTTTCCACCACAGAAAACTTTGGCTCCTATATAAACCTTATTTTCACTCTCACAATGGAGTAAACATGCTGTTATTTGATGATGGTCAAACGCAGTTGCGTTTAGACAAGGAGCACATCCACGCTGCGCTTGAGAAAGCATAGAGTAGTCAAGATGACGGCACTTGCACACTTCAGTCCAGGGCCAGACCCTGGCAATCATCCTTGGAGCTTGCCTGTACACTCTCTGCTTCAGTTTCTTTGCCTGTCCCCAGAGAGGGTGACTGTCCTTCCTTTCCATTACTAGGAGAATCAGAGGAGACACACTCCCCACAACAGCATGTTTGTTTAAGCACTTCATTCCAAATTTCACCTCAGTGCCCTTTCTGAACGCCAGTTTTGTTTCGTCTCCCATCACGTAGGATTGACCAGCTCCTTGACTTCGGGACTCTGGATCGGGCTTAACAGTCTGAGTTTCAACAGTGGTTGGCAGTGGAGTGGCGGCAGTCCGTTCCGGTACTTGAACTGGTTGCCAGGTAAGGCTAAGTCTTGTCTGCGATTGATTTCACCCAAGTTTTATGTACCTGGATATGATGGAAAACTCTAACATCTCAAATGTAGATCTCAAAGAGAAGAACTGAAGACTTGGCCCTACATCCTCCATTTCTTATTTTGCTTTGAAATCTGCCAGTTGGACTGGAAGATTCCCAAGCTGTAAGGTTAGATAGTGCCAGATCCCTGGGCCAAGTACTTCTTTGCTAGGATTATTGTACAAACCAATTAAAGTATTCTTGGTTTGTTAAGGTATATACAAAGGAAAGTTTTATAGCTACTCTTCAGCATGATTTCTTAAACGTAGTAACAGCTGTTACTTTATACTTGCTTTTATATCAATCTTGTAATCCTTGAAAGAAGCACCCAACAGCTATTCATATAGACTGACGAGACGCTCCCAATCCGTGTGCGTGACTCGTGACTCACCTTTGAATCTTTTGTCCTAACTTTTTGAATTTCTTGACATTTCAGTTCAAAGTGCTTATGTATAAACATACATTTGTGGTTTGTAACATACATGCAACATAACAGCCAAAGATTTTACACTGTTATATTTATATCCACAGATCCACATGAATTTAAGTGAACTGAAATTACTCTGGGCTGGCAAATGTCTGACTCTTTTGAGTTGTGAGATATTTGGAATATTGCTGTCACTTTTACAAAGACCTGAAGGTCTACATTCATACCATTTTCTCCTGTTTTTAACCTAGAGTTGGATTAAAAATACTACCTCATAGATTATAATGCCCCACACTAGCATAAAACATTTATTAGCATTTGTCGACAACTTGTAGTTTGTACAAAGTCAGGGCATGGCTAAATATTCACTAGCTTTCTAATTTCCTGGAGGGCAGAAAATGCTGGAACTAATTATTTCTGTGGTGTCATAACATGCCCGTGTCAGAACTAAAAGGAGACTAATTACTGAATTGGAGTGATAGGTAGAAACAGCCATTCAGAGAAATGAAAGGCCAATGCTGAAACATTTTTATCTGCTTCTCTAATTAATAGCCACTATTGCTACTTGAGGCCCTTTATTATAATGCCAGCCCCCTTTTGACCCCATCTGAGCGGCAGTCTTGGTTAGAGGAAACAGTGTAGTGAATGATTAGTGATGTCTGTCATGGATGTAGGATAGGAGGAAAGTCGCCGATGGTTCCATCTTTGAAGACAATTGTGATGCGGTGTTCTTTGATGTGCTTAGGTTTCTTTTTTAAAGTCAGGGAGTGGTTTTCGCATGTGGCTTAAAAATAAAACTATTTTTATATTGAATTCTATTAAAAAAGAAAAGCTTCAATAAAACAGTATCCCAAACAGACACAAACCCATGAGGGGAAATTTTCAGGGGTTGCATTTTCGTTTAAATTGACTAGATTGTAACTGTAAAATTCTATTTTGAATGCATTATGGCTACAGGGCTTTTTTATTTATTTATTTTTTTTTGTGTGTGTGTGGTTTTTTGTTTGTTTGTTTGTTTGTTGTTTTTTTTGCATGCTAAGCATTTGCTCACCCACTGAGCCATTCCCCCATTCCTGCTCCCTGAATCTGAAAATGCTAGTCAGCTGTGTTTATGGGAAGTAGATATTACTGCAAGGAGATGTAAGATGTCTCTTTTCATGAGTGAATATTTATTGTCTCCTTACTCTGCCACTCATTTAGATAATAATTTATCAAGAGACGAGAGTTTATTCTCTTAACGGCTGAGTCATACAGTATTAAGCAGGTCATTTTCTTTATTATTCATTTTGGGGACAGGGAGGATAAAATTTAGCCTCTTGTATTCAGAGAGTTCAGCAAGAGAATTTGAGAGTTAACTTTGGGGCAAGCGAGGATGTGGAAGTGGAATATTACTGAGAAAAGAAATAAAAAAGGTTTTCTTATTAAACCGAATTTCTGGCAAGTAGGTGCAAGATTAAATCTCCTTCTCAAAGTATGACTTTTGAACATAAAAGTAGAAACCCTGTGAAAAGCATAAGTTGCTTTTACATTAATTGTTCAGCGAAGCATCTGAACTGAGCACTTGCCAAGTACTACGACTACTAAAATATATTTACATTTCAGACGAGGACATTTTACATAAATGGTTAACAGCACCAAGTGATCCCTGAAGATTCATGGTGTTGTTGTCTGAATAACAAATGTACATGACTTACTAATGAATATATCAGTAACAATTGGCTATAAAATATATTATTGTCTTTTGGAAGTTTCTTTCTAGTTCTGACATCTTATCTGCTCTGTGTTGTTGGTCACAATATCAACACATTTAAAAACTGTCTTTGGGCCGGGCGTGGTGGTGCACATCTGTAATCCCGGCACTCAGGAGGCTGATGCAGGTGGATTGCTGTAAGTTCGAGACCAGCCTGGGCTACATAGTGCGTTCCAGGTCATTCTCACTTACATAGTGAGACTCTGTCTCAAACAAAACAAAACAAAACAAACAAAACCCGCGCAAAAAAACCAAAAACTGTCATTGGACTTGATACTGACGATCTTTCTTCTTTTGCGCTATGTGAATAAACTTAAAGTTTTTCTGATAAAGACTCTGAGTAACAGGTAATGTGGTTTGCATCTTTGAGGAAGAGAAGTGGAGATAGCTTGTATACATAGCAGAGGTGACAGAGCAATGTTCCTAGCTGAGTACAGCTTATTTGCCCTAAGATCAGGTGTAAATTGTAGCTGTTTTGGGAACACTGGTTGTAAAATCACATCTCAGAGTAGCAGAGAGCATGAAACATGTAGGTACCGATGCACGTGTGTCCAGTGCATTAGCAACGTTGATTCTGTTTATTTAATCAGTTTCCATTGGGACATGGACATGACGTTGGCTCCTAAAAGTGTTCTTCAGTGGGTTGAGTTGAAGATGACGTGTTGCATTTCCAAATCTCCCTTCTCTTACCGCTGCCCCTGCTGTGCCTTTTCTTTCCTGTTTCTTTTGTCTGAATGGAGAAGGTTTCCCTGTGTTCAGATTCCCCAGTCTGATTCTTAGTTAGCTTGACTTAGGTTTTTTGTTGTTTGTTGGTTTGGTTTTGTGTGTAGGCACTGACAGTGTTTAACATGGCTAGGTTGGAGCACCATCTTTGCTTTTAGTTAGGTACCTGTCCGTGACACATACTGTAATTCAGTGTGACAACTGTGTAAAATTTTAGGTTTAAATTCATCACTTGATGATGGGGAAAACAGTGACTGTGAAGAAGTCTACTTTACTAATGAACATTTTAGGCATTGGAATGATCCACCAACATGGAAACGAATAGATACCCATCGTGTCTTTTGCTGTGCAATCAGTAAATATTTATCTGTGAATGTGTAGCAGAAGACAGACTGGGGATCCATTAAATCTCAAAGATGAAGACTCGAGGCTTGGGGGAGCAGTCTGCTTAGGATCCCTGTTGCAGTCCCACTTTAACTTTTTCATTTTCTCAAAGGAAGTCCATCAGCTGAACCTGGAAAAAGCTGCGTGTCCCTCAATCCTGGGAAAAATGCAAAATGGGAAAACCTGGAATGTGTTCAGAAGCTGGGCTATATTTGCAAAAAGGGCAACAACACTTTGAATTCTTTTATAATTCCCTCAGGTAAGTGATCTATTTGAAGTGCATCAAATAATAGAAGTTAAGGATTAGTAAATGTGACAGTTTAATTATAATTTGCATGAAAAGACTCTGGAGGTCTTGTAAATGTAATGGCATTCCTACAGTTTTTGTGTGGGTTACTACTAATGGTTGCTAATGTTTTCTGCATGTGCAGCAGTGTTTGGGCATTGTGTAAATCTTTGACATAAATAAGAGTTTTGTCTCCCCACAGAACGGTTATCTTTATTGCATCTTTATGGATCAGTCAGGGTGTCAGTGCTTTTACTGTAGGTTCTTACATGGAAGCCTACACAGAATGGATAAAACATACCAGGGCAGTATGACAGTGTTATGTAGATAGGCTAGGCTCCAGGAGAAAAATCAGGATGCTCTCTATTATAATTTTATAGAATATTAAACTGCTAAGGCAAAAAGATCTTTTTCTTCAATGTGATAAAAACAAACTTTATTTCTTTAACACCAAGCAGCTGTTTTTGGAGGGATTATGAATGTTTTGCATAGTTTTTAATTTATTTTTTCTGCCCGGGAAACCTAACATTGTAGCACTCTCCTTGACTTTTAGAAACAATTTCATCTAAGTATGAATGATATGGATAGAAATTGAAAAGATACTAAATGAAAATGATATTTTTCTCCTTCCTCTTACCTCTACCTAGCTCCCTGGAGGATCAGTTTCTGAACATGTATATCCTTATGTAGTTCTTGGACTATATAAGCAGATGTGTTTATAATTATTTTCATCTGTTTTATACCAATGACAGCATGCTATCCATATAATTGTTATACTCAATTTTTCACATACTATTTTGTTCAACACTCTACAGAGTATATAAATAGCTTCTGTGTTCTTACTTGCGACTTTGGTCCTATTCAGGAAATCTTTGTATTCCAGCAGATTAAATATTTTAATATTCAGATCTTTGCTCTATTTTTATTTTATTTTAGAACATGGTGAGAGATGTTAATCTAGATCCCTTCTTCTGCATGTGCATAGCCAATTTCCCCAGTACCATTTGTTGAAAAAGGTACTTTTCCTCCAGTGTACTTTTTTTGACCCCTTTGTCAAAGATCGGATGGCTGAATGTACCTGGGGTTATTTCTGCATCCGCTCTTCTATGTTCGTGATCCATGTGGCTGGTTTTTCTCCTAGTACTATGGTGTTTTTCATTACTGTGGCTTTGTAATATGACTTGAAATCCAAGATGGTAATGTTTCCTGCTTTGTTCTTCTTGCATATGTATCAATTTTGTAGTCTAGCTCTTCTGACAGTATCAGTTCTGCCCGTCCAGAAATAGGGGTTGTCTTTCTATTTTCTGATGTCCTCTTTGACCTCCATTTTCAGAGTGATGCGATTTTTGTTATAGAGTTATTTTACTTTCTTTGTTTTGTTAATTCCTAAGTATTCGTTCTTTCTCGAAACTATTGTGGCTGGTATTGTTTTCCTAATTTCCTTCTTAGAGTCATTATTGGTATAAGGGAATGTTATTGTTTTTTGCGTGTTGATTTTGTATGCTGCTAACTTGCTGAATTTATTTATTGTCTGTGTATTTTGGTGGAATTTTTGGGGTCCTTTATATAAACTATCATGGTCGCTGAAGAAGGATATCTTTGCCTTCTTCCTTTCATCTATCTATCTATATATCTATATATATAATTATATAATTTTCTCTTGTCTGATGGGTCTAGATAAACTTTTGAGTACTCTGTTGAATAGTAGTGGTGATATGGATATCCCTGTCTTGGCCCTGATTTTACAGAAAAAGGTTCCAGTTTTTCTGCCTTTAGTATGACGTTGGCAATAGGATTGTCATGAATTTTATCAGATGAAGATAATGTTCTCCTGTGCCTATTTTCTTCTGTGTTTTTATCATGAACAGATGTAGGATTTTGTCAAAGGCTTTTTTGTATGCATTGAGATCATCGTTTGACTTTTGTCCTCGCTTCTGTTTATGTGATGCACTATGCTTACTGTTTTGTGTATGTTGGACCATCCCTTCATCCTTAGGATGAAACCTACTTGGTCATGATCTTTTTGATAATTCATTGCATTTTTTCACTAAGGGGAGTGGGAAAAAAACAAGAATCAAGATACATCATACATAAGACAATTATGATTTGTTTTATTCTTCTTTCCAGTATCTTCTTGAGGATTTTTGCATCTTTGTTCACTAAAGAGTTTGACCTATAGTTTACTATTTTATTTGAGTCATTGTCTAATTTGGGAATCAAGGTAATGCTAGCTTTGAGGAATGACTTTGACAGTACTCCTTTTTTTCAAAGTCATTAAAAAGTGTTAGATCTTCCTTAAAGTTCTTGTAAAATTCAGTGGTGAATCCATTCAGTCCTGGGCTTTTCTTGTCAATTTTTTTGTTTTTTTTTTTTTTTACTGTTTCAATTTCTTTGCCTGATATTGGATTACTCAAGGATTTTTATATCTTCTTGCTTCAATTTTGGTATATTCATCTAAGAAGCTATCCATTCTGGATTCTTCAATTTATTGGAGTGCAGTTTTTTGAGGTAGTTAATAATAATCTTGATTTTGCCTTTCCTCTTTTTAAGTGTTTTGATACACATCTTTTCTTGGTAAGACTGGCTAATGGTTTATCTATTTTGTATTTTCTTTTGAAGAACCATCTCTTTGATTCATTGATTTTTAAAAATTGTTTTAAGTCTCAACTTCATTAATTTTTGCTCTAATTTTTAAAATTTCCTTTCTTGGAATTTTGATTGATTTTGTTTTTCTAGGACCTTGAAGTACATCATTAGGGTTTTTATGTGGGCTCACTTTGTCTTTCTGGTGTAGGCATTCACAGTTATAAACCTTCCTCTTAGGATGACTATTTTCTTTATGTCCACAGGTTCTTCCATATTGAATTGGCATTATTGTTTTATTCTAGGAACTGTTTAATTTCTTCTGTGACCTGTTTATTATTCAAGAGTGTATTGTTTAATCTTCATGTGTTTGCATAATTTCTATGTTTTCTTTTGGCATCGATTTTCTAGTTCTGTTGTACTGTGATCTTACAACACACGTGGGGAAGCTTCAGTTCTTTTGTATTTATTTAAGCATGCTGTATGGGCTTCTGTGTAGTCTGTTTTGGAGAAAAGTCTGTGTGCTGCTGAGAAGAATATGTATTGTTTTTGGGGTAGAACGCTGCAGATATCTGTTAAGTTCATTTGTTCAAAAGTGACATTCCTTTGTTAATTGTTTTTATCTAGTTGATCTCTCTATTTGTGATAGTGGGGTACTGTGGTCACCCATTGTGATTGTGTCAATGTTTATTTGATCTTTTATAATGTTTGCTTTATGAGGTTGAGTGTGACTGTTTTCAACACATACATAATTATAATTTTCATCTCTTCATGTTGAATTGTTCCCTTAACCAATATGTAATGACCTTTTTTGCTGCTTCTTATCAATTTTGGATTTTAGTTCACTTTGTCTGAAAATAGGATAGCTATTCCTGCTTGATTATGGGCTCCTATTTCATGGAATATTGTTTTCCATCCTCTTATTTATAGCCTATGAATTTATTTTTAGACTAAATATGTTTCTTGGACAGAACATACTGTTGATTTTAAAAAATCTGACCTGCAAATCTGTGTCTTTTTTTTTTTTTTTTTTTTTTTTAA